CGGTGCGGCGCGTCCTGGCAGCGCGCCCGGCGCCCCCCGGCTCCCCGCCGCGCCCGGCCCGCGCTCCGCGCCCCCTCCCCGACGCCTCCCTAACGCAGTGTGGCGTGGCGTGGCGCGTGTCGGGGCGCCTGCGGGCCGCGCAAGGGCTCAGGTGGCGCTTTGGGGTTTGCTTGGGGGCTGTGTCTTTGGGGGGAAAGTGAAGCTATTTATTTGGATTTGGATTTGGGTTTTGGTTTTGGTCTTTGCTCTCGAGAAGGAAAATACTCGAGTTACTCTTCCTTGCTCTTGGGGATGGGGGCATTGCTCTGATAATAGAGACACGGACCATAGGGTCTAGTCGGAGAGATTAGAGTTAAATTTGGTAACTTCTTCGGAAGTGAGAGTGAACTAAGGAGGTCAGAGGTTCGTTTAAGAAGGGAAGCGGCTTTCCTCCCCCTGACACAATCCCCTCGCCCACAGGCCAGTGAAATGAAGGAATAACAACACATTTCACTCTTTCCACAAAGATGATTTGAGCACTTGCCAAACTGCTGGGCAGGAGGCACAAGTTTTTGTGTGTGTTTCCTTTCGTTTTGTTTTGCCACTTTCCCACCGTGTGACCTTGGGCAAATTACTTAACCTCTCTAAATAAAGTTGGAGATCTTTCCCAACCCAGGCACCCCTGGGGGAAGAATGGGGAATCAGAACTAAAGGTGCTGGGTGGATCCTCAGGAGGTGTTCATGAGTCATTTTGATTATTCCTTGGTGGATTAAACACCGTGGGCAGAGGCATGGTCAGCCTTGGCTGCAGGTATTGAATGATGAGAGGAAACTCTGAAGGACTCTGGCTAACTTCTGACAGGCCAACCAGGGAAGCAGGTTTATAGGCTTAGGGTAGGCTCAGCATTTAGCTGTGAAGCCTCCCATCTGGAGGGAAGGTTCAGGCTGCTGGGAACTGGAGCCTACTTTTCTGACCCCTGGGGGGAGGAGGGATGAATCTGGAAGGGGGAGAGGAGGAAAGAAAAGGCCTTTTCCTTGTTGTGAGCTTTGAGAAGCAGCAACAGCAGCCATCTTGCCCCACTGTAGCGAGAAAATGGATTTAGGGGTGAGCTTCCCCTCCCAGGAGAGCCTGCAGGGACTGTGAACTCTCTTCAAAGAAGGGGATCCTCAACTGGCTTCCTTCCTCCTCTTCCTGATGGGTTCCTTCCTAGTCCAGAACAGGAAGGCAGGTCAGCCACTTGCTCTCTGAGTCACAAGCTTTCTCAGAGCCATGTGGGACAACCCACCTGTCCTCTAGATATGAAGGCTACCAGGCTAGGACATCCATCACCCCACTAATCCCCGGGAGTAGACAGGTTTTACCTTCCTTACTGCTGCAGAAGTTCTCTTCTAAAGCAGAAGGCCAGGCAAAAGATCAGAGGCTAGGCTTCAAGGTGTGGGGTTTTCTCTGGGGACTGGATGGGCATGAGCTTGACTGTGAAATGGGCACAGCCTCCCTCACTGGAAAGGGTAATGGTTCCAGGTACCCATCTGAGCACTCACTCTACAGAATACGTTTTCCGCCCTTGCTGCTTCTGGGCCGCTCAGGGTACAGGCCTAAGTGACAGCCAAAAGGTTTATCCTGGGCTCTAGATGGCTGGTGGCAAAAGCCCAGCAGAGATTAGGCCTGGTTTAGGTGACCCTAAAATACACCCTCCCACCCGCCCACTCCCACCAATCAGGACCTGATCTCATTGCATTCTCCCTGTTTCCGGTTCTGTTATTCCAAACAGTTCTGAGAGCAAGGACTGTATCCCATCCATCTTCATATCACAAATGCCCCGATGGTGATGGTACTTGCCCACCATACATTTATTCATCAAAGACTTCTTAGACACCTGTCAAGTGCTGGGTACTGAGACTAGTGATGAGCAAGGCTCTGAGTGACAAACATGTCTTTCTTGCCTTCACGGAACTTATATTCTAGTGGGAGAATCAGACCAAAAAAATAACTTAAAAATTATGAATCATGATAAAGGATAAAAAGGCACAAGGGGGGAGCAACGGAGAAAAATGGAGTCGGATCTGCTTTAGGTAAAATAGAGGTCTCCGGTGAGGTGACGTTTAAGCTAAATCTTGTTTTTTCTTTATGAAGCTCCACCCTGCATATAAACCTCATAATGGCCTATCTTTTCTTTACGATGCACAGTTTCTATTTTTATTTTTTTTAATTCCAGTGTAGTTCACATACAGTGCTATGTTAGTTTCAGGGGTACACTATAGTGATCCAACCGTTCCATACATCACTCCATGCTCATCATGACAAGTGCACTCCTAACCCCTTCACCTGTTTCATCCACCCCCCCACCCACCTCCCCACTGGGAACCATCTGTTCTCTATAGTTAAGAGTCTGTTTGTTTGTTTGTTTGAAGATTTTACTTTTAAGTAATCTTGACACCTAATGGGGCAGAGGGTTTGTTTTTTTTTCCAACTTACAACTCCGAGCTCCAGAGTCACATGCTCCACTGGACTGAGCCAGCCGGGCACCCCGAGTCTTGTTTTTTTGGTTTGTCTCTCTCCCTTTTTTCCCCCCTTTGTTCATTTGGTTTTTGTTTTTTTGTTTTTTTGTTTGTTTGTTTGTTTCTTAAATTCCAATATGAGTGCAATCGTATGGTATTTGTGTTTTTCTGGTTTATTTCACTTAGCATTATACTCCTTAGATCCATCCATGTTGTTAACAAGTGGCAAAATTCCATTCTTTTTTAATGGCT